TTACATCCTTCTTTACTGAAAGAATCTGGAATCCTAGATTTGATCTTGCAATCTGAAGTCTTCCTATCATATTTGTGCCATCTAAACAGTTGGCTGCTATTCAAAGCCACTAGAGGGACTAAACAGCTATATCAATTCATAAATAGTTTTCTCAAATGAAAGCTTCACAATGAAATCACACATTGACAGAATATTTATAAACTGCAAACAATTATTCTAGATCCCTTTGGAGGAGAAAATTTTTAAGTGATGGAACAAGAATAAACAAAAGTATATTACTCATTTACTCATTTAAATGATTCAGTGTATGTTACTTGAGAGCAGAGATTTAAAATGCACAACACACTGTGTGATGCATCCATGGAAATGATTAAATACACCAAGGTCTTTTTTTTTATTTTTTTAACGTTTATTCATTTTTGATAGAGAGAGAGAGAGACAGCGTGAGTAGGGGAGAGTCAGAGAGAGAGGGAGACACAGAATCCGAAGACAGGCTCAAGGCCCTGAGCCGTCAGCACAAGCCCAACACAGGGTTCGAACCCATGAGCCGTGAGACCACGACCAGAGCTGAAGCCGGTCTGACTGAGCCCAACCGACTGAGCCACTCAGGCACCCCAAAATATGCCAAGGTCTTAATACCACTTTACATTTGTACAGAACAGTCCAGTTTGCAAATCATAACTACAAACTCATTTTACTCTGTATCTCTGTCAATTTAAATACAATAAATATGAGTCTGTTTGGATAAGAAAAGCCATGTACTAAAATGGTTAAGAGCACAGAATCTGAAGCCAACTGCCTGCTTTTGAACCCTAGCACTGCCACTTACTAGATATGTGATTCTGAATACATTACTCAACATTTCTGTGCCTCCGCTTCATCATCTGCAAAACAGGGATAATAATTATTTCAATTTCTTGGGTTCACTAATGGTTAAAGCAATTAATACATGTCAAACACTTAGAACAGCATCTATCAGAGAATTGCCATTATATATTACATCCTGGTTGTACTTAGCTACAGTATTATTGTATGGAAAGGGAAAAAGGCTAAGTAAGTCACAGAGTGAGAAATAAAAAACCAGACTTCTCTATGATGCTCTATCCAGAAAGGGCTGGGTTGTTTTTTTAAGTATCCTAAGGTTTTCTAGACTAATGTAAAGAGTGTATTGTGGAATTTTACAAATAAAAAAATTCAGCAGCTCAAAACATTTATAAATTTGTATCTTAATCTTCTTACATAAGAAGTTTTAAGTTAAATTACTAATTAAAAAAGCAAATATTCCATTTTGAGGATAGAACTGTACACTTAAGAGTAGTTATCTGTGTTGTATTTACAAAACAAAACTTTTTTGTTTCACTTTTCAAAAGACTAAAAAAAGCAATAATATCATATCATGATAGTATGGTGATCATTACTTCAACTTATCAAATAAAAAAAAACTAGAAAGAAATATACTAAGATGATAATAATGACTATATGAGGATCTCCTTTCATTCTTCTGGTCTTCAAAACATCCAGTATTATGATATAGCATTCATAATTTAAAAAGTGATTTCCAAAAAAAGTTTATCAAGGATTAAACATTGTATTGGTAAAGGAAACACTTAGAAAGAATTCTAGAGGGGCACCTGGGTGGCTTAGTCGGTTAAGCGTCCGACTTTCGCTTAGGTCATGATCTCGCGGTTCCTGGGTTCGAGCCCCGCGTCGGGCTCTGTGCTGACTGCCAGCTCAAAGCCTGGAGCCAATTTCAGAGTCTGTATCTCCCTCTCTCTCTGACCCTCCCCTGCTCACGCTGTCTCTCTCTCCTAGAAATAAATAAAAAATATTTAAAAAAAAAAAAAGGAAATAATTCTAGAAAATAACAGATGCCCAGCTGAAAACCTATCCTCATTTTTCAAATATATCTTAGGTATCTTTCCTCAGACTTTGTCCAAAATTTTTCCCTTTAGTGATTTAGGTGACTATGATAACATCATCCACTGTATCTAAAAATAGGGAATGGGTATGTAAATTTATGAGCTGAAATGCAAAATGGCATTGGATGTCTAAATAAGAGTATTAAGTCTTTAGCATACTCTACTATAAAAATTTTTTTTAATTTTTAAAAAATGTTTTATTTATTTCTGAGAGAGAGAGAGAGAGAGAGAGAACATGAGCACGGGAGGGTCAGAGAGAGAGGGAGACACAGAATCTGAAGCAGGCTCCAAGCTCTGAGCTGTCGGCACAGAGCCCAACGCGGGGGTCGAACCTACAAACTGTGAGAACATGATCTGAGTCAAAGTTGTACACTTAACCGACTGAGCCACCCAGGCGGCCCTAAAAATATTTTTTAATCACTGATATCTACATGCTTTGTATATACATACAATTTTAATGCAACCATCTTTAATCCTTTTATATGAAGTGAAGAAATGTGAAGTCATGAATTTTTTAGCATTCTCAAACATGCCAGCCAAGTCACTTCTTCAGAGATTAACTTAGACAAAGCGTTCTTTCACTCCCAGCCTCAGGTTCCTTCTTGGGATATTAATAATAGGCTAGACATCAGTGGTTCTCAACCTTCTTTCTACCCTAGCCTTTCTGAGGGATTCAACATCTTTCCATTTACAGCAGCAAGGACAGTCTGAAAACGTCCCCCACAGTTATTTCTAATACTCTACCCTAAAAGCAGTTCCAAAGCTGTTCTGAAGCTGCCCCTACCCTCCACTCAACTTCAAAATGTATAGTTCTCAGAAGTTCACACAACTTTAAGGTCTGCCACTTTAGGAAAGGAAAATCACAACCTAATGACCTGGAAAGTATCAGACAGTGTTATTTTAATACACTCACAAAAAAAGGCCAAAAGTTAATGTTCATCTTCTTTGGTTGGAACAAGCCAAGATTCAAATATGAATTTATATACTGATGACATCAAAAAAGGCTTTGTTACTATTCATAAGGCAAACAGCACACCTTACCGGGAATTGGCTTCTAATCAAGGAGGTGTGAAAAGTAGGAAGAAAAGTGGGAAATCAAACAAAGTAACACCCCTTAAAGTTTGAGGGAAAAGGAATGGAACATGTGACTAGTGGAAAGGGAGATTTGTGCAATTCAACTTTTCTGATAACAAAAAAGGAAAGTCAAAGACTGACACATAGAGATGGGATATTATGGGATCTCCAATTTATTCTCCAAAATATCAATTTGTTTCAGGCCTAACATCAATTTTATGTGATTTTTTTTTATCAGACAACTCTGTTATAAACTAAAAATATGGTCTGGTTGTATTCCATATAAATAAGCCAAATACATTGGTTCAGCATGGTGACTGACAATTGTCCAGTAAAGTATTCACAAATAGTGAATACTTCTTGTACATTTTCTTTGACTGTATACTTACTGTGGGCAAATTCTACACTATTTAAAAGCTATTGTACATGCAAAGTCTTGTGGAGAATTCTCACAAGTAGGAAAGGAGGAAGTGGAATTTTAAAACTTCCTTGGAACAGTTTTAATTCAAATGTAAGCCAATATTACATCATCATTTGTATGTATACAGGGCATGGCAAAGATGCTGAATAGGGCTTCAAAAATTAGGATAATTTTGAAGATATAATCGCATTATCTTCAATTCAGAAAACATTAATCAATAGATGTGGAGTGTTAGCTCTATGTTTTATAGTGAAAGACCCTCAAATGGTGCACGTGTGCGAGCGCACGCGCGCGCACACACACACACACACACACACACAGAGTATTTTACAGATTGAGTGTTTGAACAACAACAAAAAAGTCTGGACCTGAAAGTTGCTATCCTCTGTACCAGAAGATGACAGCACAATGTGTATGTATCTCTATCACTTCATGCCTTAAAAAGCTAGTAAAAATGTTCTGTAGCACTGATTTCTCCTAAAATTATTTACAAAACATACTGTCTGTTGTTGGCTTAACTTGCTGAAACAGTCTTTTAAGATATAAATTCTCAATGTTTTCCACATAAACTATACCTGTAAAACCTTTTTAAAACTTGTGTCAGTGAACAGACCAATAACCCAACAAAATATAAAATTGAACAGAAATAAAATGCTCCAACCCCACTTCTGTGGGATGGTCACATCTGAAACAGTAGCAATAAATACAGTATTATGCAAGAGAAGACAATCCCTTACACAGAGTTGGAATGGATAAATATTTGTCGAATGAACGTAAACATTTCTTCTTCATTCTATACTCATGTGTCAAAGTATCAAACAACTTAAACTGTGGCAGTTTCTGTTGAGTCTCGAACTTTACATGTAAGTTTATCATGAGGGGGAAAAAAACCTGTTTGGCTTGACTCACGATGAATCACAGCCAGGAGGTCATCTTGTTGTGTATCAGCAACTATGTTTTCACTACAGCTATGTGACCTGAAGTGGCAGCAGAAGAGGTACCAAAATAGAAGAGGCAAGAGGCTTCTCCTGGCTTCTGGGCCCCAAATGGGCTTTTCCAGTCCGTTCGGATATCTGAGCAGGAGCCAACCGCAGAGGAGAAAAAGAACAAACCCACAGTACCCGGGAGAAAGGCTGCAGGCCCACCACACCTTCCTTGCCCTCTTCGGGGGCCCGGGGAAGCAAGAACATAAACGAACGCGCTTAAGAAACAGCGTGGAGAAAACAGCATGACAGGGGCCAAAACTAGACCAGTATAGGACAAAATCCAGTCGTGACCGTGAAGCACAGATTTTGGTAAGGTCTGAAGTCAGAGAAGGATCTCCAGGCTGGGGCTCCCGGAGCAGCTCTGGCGCGAGCGCGCAGCGGGGCCCCCGCCTCCAAGCACCTCCGGCCACCCAGGACCTGCTCCTGCTCCCACCTCACCTGTCCAGTGCCCTCTGACCGGGCCGGCTGCTCTGGCCGGATCCCCACCGACACTCCTATCCCGTAACCCTCCCAGCGCATCTTTCGGGACCATCGCCCGGGTGAGTCTGGGCAAGGAGCCGAAGCGCACCCCGCCGCCCCAGGCCTGGCCTCCGCACTCACTTTCTGAATCCTCTTCAGCGCCATGGGTCAGGGAGGGCGGCGGGGACACCGGCCGGCTGGGGGCGGCTGCGGGGCTCGGGGGCGTAGGGTCGTCGTGGGCTCTGCTGGCTCTCCGCTTGGCTGGTCAGCCCCGCAGGTCCCCGGCTCGCTGCTCGCTACTCGCTGACTCGCTCCGGGCGCCGGTCCCTGCTCCGTGTGCGCCCGAGCGCGAGTGTGCGCGAGTGTGCGGGAGGGGTCGCCGGCGAGACTCTTTTGTTTCCGCTTTTGCTTCTGGGAAGGAGCCTGCGCCCTACCCGCTCGCGCCCCGCCCAGCCTGGCACACTGGGAAGTGTAGTTCCAGCCGTGTCCTGGGCCGCCGGCCCCTGGCGAGGTCGAGTTACTGCTGACTTCAACCGAGGCTTAGAACTTCGCGGTCATGAGTTCGTCTCTGCAATTTGATTTTGATCAAGTTACTGAACCTGACATACCTAATCTGTAAAACAGGGATAACAAATTAGGAATGTGTAAACTTTCGGGAATTTCCAATATGTGCTACAGCTGATCCTTTACTTTTGTAGATTTCATTCTCAACCATATAAACTGCCTAAATATCTCACACATGCACAGACCTACCATTTATGACTCCTTTCTTACCTCCCTAGTTCCTATTTCAAAAGGCACCTGCTCTATCCACTGCTAATCCCTCATGCCTGCTCCTCCTTAGAACTAGAAATTCTGAGGTATGCCATCACTATTGTCTCCTTCCCTTGCTGTCACAGCACATACTCAATACAGTCTACTTACACTCCTCACTCCCTCAATTCTTATGAATTTGTATGCTCATTAAAACTTGGCTTCTACTTTTAGCACAAGCAGAATTGGCTTTCACCAAGGTCAGGCTTGAGCTTCTAATTACCGAAACCAATTCACTCCTGATGTTTCTGAACCATTTGATAGCTGGCCACCCTTTTGCTTTTCAAAGCACTCACCCATACTAACTTCCATAGCACCTTGGTAATTGGGTCCTTCCCTTTGGCTAGCTCCTCTTCTCAAGATCTGGAGTGCCCCTGAATTCGAAGCCTTGATATCATCATTAATATCTTCCTAGGAGATAGACCTCCTGACCTGCCATAAACTGGAAGGCTACCCAGGTTTGATGGAGGAGCATGGCTTTGCAGACTGATCACTCTGACCCCTACGCATTGTGTGACTGTAGCTAAGCCAATTTAAACTCTCTAAACCTCAGTTCCCTCCTCCCTAGAGATAATCATCCCTGGATATATCAAAATTAATTGGTATTAATATATACATGTGCCAGTACCTAATATGTTCGAAGTTTTCTATAAAAATTACTTCCCTATGGGGGGGGGGAGGTGCCTAGGTGGCTCAATTGATGAAGCATGGGACTCTTGAGTTTGGCTCAGGTCATGATTTCGTGGTTGTGAGGTCCGTGCCCCCCATCAGGCACTATGCTGACAATGTGGAGTCTTCTTAGGATTCTGTCTCTCTCTCCATGTCTCTCTTGCTCTCTTGTTATCTCTCTGAAAATAAATAAATAAACTTTAAAAAATTACTTCACTTTGGAAGAACCAATATTGTTAAAATGTCTATACTACCCAAAGCAATCTACACATTTAATGCAATCCCTATCAAAATACAGCATTATTTTAGAGAACTTAGAACAAACAACCCTAAAATTTGTGTGAAACCACAAAAAAAAAACCCTGAATAACCAAAGCAAACTTGAAAAAGAAAAGGAAAGCTGGAGGCAGCACAGTTATGGACTTCAAGTTGTATTACAAAGCTGTAGTAATCAAAACAGTATGGTACTGGTACAAAAAAAGACACATAGATCAATAGAACAGAATAGAAAATCCAGAAACAAACCATAATTATATGGTCAATTAGTCTTCAACAAAGCAGGAAAGAATATCCAATAGGAAAAAGACAGTCTCTTCACCAAATGATGTTGGGCAAACAGATAGCAACATGCAAAAGAATGAAACTGGACCACTTTTTTACACTATACACAAAAATAAATTCAAAATGGATGAAAGAGGGGCGCCTCGGTGGCTTAGTCGGTTAAGCGTCCGACTTTCGCTCAGGTCATGATCTCGCGGTTCGTGGGTTCGAGCCCCACATCGGGCTCTGTGCTGACAGCCAGCTCGGAGCCTGGAGCCTGTTTCAGAGTCTGTGACTCCCTCTCTCTCTGACCCTCCCCTGCTCACGCTGTCTCTCTCTTTCTCTCCTAGAAATAAAGAAAACATTAAAAATTTTTTTTAAAAAATGGATGAAAGACCTAAATGTGAGACATGAAACTCTAAAAATCCTAGAAGAGAACACAGGCAGTAACTTCTTTGACACTGGCTGTAGCAGCTTTTCTCTAGATAAGTCTCCTGAAGCAAGGGAAACAAAATCAAAAATAAACAATTGAGACTACATCAAAATAAAAAGTTTCTGCTCAGCAAAGGAAACAATCACCAAAATTAAAAGGCAACATACAGAATGGTAGAAGGCATTTTCAAATGGCATATCTGATAAAAGATTAGTATCCAGATATATAAAGAAGTTATAAAACTCAACACACACAAAAATAATCCAATTAAAAGTGAGCAGAAGACATGAACAGACATTTCTCCAAAGAAGACATCCAGATGGCCAACATGAAAGATGCACAACATCACTAGTTAAAGAAATACAAATCAAAACCACAATGAGGCATCACCTCACACCAGTCAGGATGACTAAAATCAATAATACAAGAAACAACAGATGTTTGTAAGGATGCTGACAAATGGGAACACTTTTACACTGCTGATGGGGATGCAACCTGGTACAGCCACTGTGGAAAACAGTATGGAGATTCCTCAAAAAGTTAAAAATAAAAATACCTTATGATCCATTAAGTTCACTACTGGTATTTTTGCCAAAAGAATATAAGAACACTAACTCAAAGGGATACATGAATCCCTATGTATAGCAGCATTATTTACAATAGCAAAGACATGGAAGCAGCCCCAGTATCCAACAATTGATGAATGGATAAAGAAGAGGTGATTACACACACACACACACACACACACACAGGAATTATTCAGCCATAAAAAAGAATGAAATCTTGCCATTTTTAATGGCATGGATGGAGCCAAAGAGTATAGCACTAAGCAAAATAAGTCAGAGAAAAATGAATACCATATAATTTCACTCATGTAGAATTTAAGAAACAAAACAAATAAGCAAAAGGGAAAATGAGAGAAAGAGAGAGAGAATTAAGAAGCAGACTCTTAATTACAGAGAACAAATTGATAGTTACCAGAGGGGAGGTGTGTAGGGAGATGGGTTAAATAAGTAATGGGGATTAAGGTGTGCACTTGTCATCATGAACACATGGTGATATATGGAAGTATTGAATCATTATATTGTACATCTGAATTAAGATAACATTATATGTTAACTAACTGGAATTAAAATAAAAACTTAAGAGACTGGAACCTGGCAAGATGGTGGAGAAGTAGGGAGTTCCATACTTCCTGCCTGTATCTCTCAAACAAAGAAGGCCTGAAGCCAAAGGACTCCGAACTGCAAGAGTCTGGGAGGAAAAGAGACCAAGCCCATTAAGAAGACAGCCTCATAGGTGCATGATAGCTAACTGGGGAAGATAAAAACAGGCCGGGACATGGAGGCACGGAGGGGAGGGAGCCTCTTCTGTGGAGAGACAAAGGGAAGACAAAGAGTGGCTGGGGAATAGTAGAATGATACCTGGAGAAGAGAAGAACCTCAGTCCAGGATGGAGAGGTTTCCTATTATCCCATATCTAAGTGCAGGGCTTTCAGAGACAGATCCTGTCTCTAACTGCAGAGTTTTTTGAGGCTGGTTGCTTCAGTCCCATAAATTCCTTCTGGGATAAACGGTACGCAAGGGATGCAGTAGACATTAGGAGGAAACAGTCCCCTGATTGGTCCCCAGCTCAGACCCCTTCCAGGAAGTGTCCCAGCTTGCAGCATTACATTTCGGGTGATATCATTAATGCACACAAAGTAAGATCTTGAACCTCGGCTGTCCTGCTCCAGACTGGGTATTCTAGTTATAGGTTTGCTTAAACAGACATATGTAATCCATTCTATTGATGCATGTTCTATCACTCCTTGGTTACCTTCCTTTTTCTCTCTCTGAAAAAAAAAAATCAGACGATATACTTCTCTGAGTAACATTATCTTCATTTTTTTTCTCCTCACCTCCTGCCATATTCTCCTTTATCTCTCTCTGAATTAAGCTTTTTTAAGCTTAATTTAAGCTTCAGAGAGCCTAGTCAATGTTCAATTTCTCTTTCTCCTCAGCCCGGTCATTTTTCTTTTTGTTTATACTCTTCCATCAGCACTGCCTCCATCCTGCTCTTTATTTGTAGCTGGCGTTTCTGGTTTTATGCTTAAACTGCCCTTTCTCTTTTTGTTGTTGTTGTTGTTGTTGTTGTTCTTTTCTGGTTTGCATGCTTGTTTGATTTATTTGTGCATTTGTGTGCTTTAGTTCCCTGTTTGTATGTCTGTTTTCCTTTCGAGGGCTAACTCAAGAAACGAGCCAAAGTACACATGGTGGAGAGTCCCAAATACCACTACAAGTAGGGAAATAAAATAACCAAAGTCACAACAAGAGAGACCAAGGGACACCATTAAAGAACACTTCCTGAATGGACAGGCCCTGGACAGTCTATGAACCTCCTTTAATATAGCAATACTCACAGGTGCACAGCTCATAACAAGCTTTTAAAACTGACAAGAGACAGAAACCTAGCCAAAATGACAAAATGGAAGAACTCTCCTCCAAAGAAATTCCAGGAAGAAGTGATGGCTAAAGAACTGGTCAAAACAGATATAAGCAACATAACTGAACAAGAATTTAGAACAATAGTTATAAAACTAATCGCTGGGCTTGAAAAAGGCATGGAAGACATCAGAGAAGCTATTGCTACAAAGACTATGGACCTTAAAAATAGTTTTGATGAATTAAAAAAGGCTATAAATGAGGTGCATAATAAAATGGAGGCAATCAATGCACAGATTGAAGAGGCAGAGAGGAGATAGGTGTATTAGAAGACACAATTATAGAAAAAGAGGAAACGAAGAAAAAGAGAGATAAACTGATCAGGGGCACAAAAGGAGAATTCGAGAACTGAGTGAGACAAACAAACAGAACAATATTCATAACATAGGAATTCCAAAAGAAGAAGAAGAGAGAGAAAGGGGCTGAAGGGGTACTCAGACAAAATTA